GTATTTTCTGATCATAAGACTTCAAAATTTACTTAGGAATGCAAGGATGTACATTAGGCAAAATTAGAGGACAAACTAGTCTAGAATTGTCTCATAAATTACAGGGAGAGGATAATTAGGGGGAAAGTAATAAAATATATAAATGGCTGATTGTATAGTAATCAAGCCAGTTCCAAACTGTCAATAAGGTGTTATATTAGATATCACCACAGTGAAAACTCTCCTGGGTGTCCCACTTTGTTGGTAGGTGTGGGGCTGTTGTATCTGTTTTCATTTGATCCCGTTAGGGCAGAGAACTTCCCTCTGCTGAATGCCTACTAGATGCCAGGGGAGACCCAGGAGCTTCCCATATGTTATCACATTTCACCTTCACAACCTGGGAAGAAGAAGAGGAAATCCTATCTCCAATTGATAGCTGAGGAAACTGAGGACTCAAGTATTAAGAAACTTGCTCTAGGATACAAGTAGTAATGTATGGAGAAAAATCCAGGAAAGAAGGAAAAAAGCAAACATGTCTGTTCCTCTAGATAATGTAATCTAAAGTCACTCTATTTGGGGGGTTGCTTTCACTCATCTCTTCAGTATAAAGAATATAATGGACTAAGAATATTACTTACAACTCAAATATAAAAGGGTTTTGTGGATAATTGGGTTGTGGTCTAGCAAATAGGCTTCCCATTCTAACTCAAGCGTCAAGCTGGTATGAGGTCCATTTTAACATACTTTATGATTAAACTGCCTTAACAGCATCTTAAAGGACCACAAATAATAATTCAAAAATTCTCCACATGTGGTATGAAAAGATTAGACAAGTCTTAAGCAGGCAGGGACTTAAATCTCGCTGATAATACAGTGGAGAAATTATACACCATAAAGGCAAGGGGAAGGAGCAAGGGTTTAGCGAAAGGAAGATATAATCAGGGGACACAAACCTTCCTATAAATCAAGTCTTTCTATTCTGGATGATTATTTCATAAATTGGATCTTGGGCTGTTGATCTCTTCAAATGATTACCACGGAATGCGTGCACTTTTAGGAACAGTTGCTGGCTGATTTATATTTCAGACATATTTTCCATCAGTGTTCATTCCTTGAGAATATGGTTTTCATAATAGAGTTGATATTTTCAAATAATATGGAAAACTTGAAATTCAATTTGTATAAAAGCTATGTAATTTTAATGTACAATCACTACATCATATTTGGAAAAACAGTGATAAAAAGAGCAACCAAATGTGCACCTAGACAAGACCCATTTTCAAAGATAAGATCATTTTGTCAGGGAGAAAAATAATGATGGAAACGTCCCCATCCTCTTTGCCTCTAAATTCTGATATTCCAGCCAAATAATAAAATCAGCTTTTGCACTTCATCTAAGAAGACAAAACATCAACTTCTAAGAAGGAGAGAGAGAGAAGTGGTGGGTGGGAGAGAAAGGCAAGGGAGGGGAGGAAAGGGGAAGAAGTGAAGCACAGGTTCTCTAAGATGTTCCATCTTGCTCAGTAATTGTTGTATTATTGAGCAGGCTTGGGGAAGATGAAGTGTTCCTTATCCTACAAATATTTTTAAATTGCCAAAATGGCATTTTGTGTTAACAACAGAAGATAAAATAGATATGTAGTACCTACTAGTCATGATAACATAATTTATCTATCCTAATGTCTGTAATAAAGACAGCAAGTGAGCTACCCAATACTCTTAATCTAAATAAATTGAAGGAGTTGGCTGTTTTGCACACATAAAGAATATTCTGAACATACTGTTTATTTAGGCTTATTTGTTCCTCCCTATCTATTCAGTAAGAGGTGAATTATCCAAAGGTAATTCTCAATGAAACAGAATCAGGTCACCGTGCAAATAAACAATTGCCTGCAAAAGAAAAAATTCTTACTCCATACAGTAGTAAGAAGAAGTGATTTAATAAAATGGTGCCATTATCAAAGGGCAAAATATGGTTAGCATTCTAAGGCTGTTAACCCTACCTTTAATGGAAAAAAATTAAGGCTCCTTTATGTTTCTAAAGCGGAAAGATTCTCTGTTTTCATTTTTTGGAAAAAAGATAATTTATATGAGGCAATAATTCCAACAAGCAACATATTTTATTCAATCAGGCATTTAGTTTTATTTTTACCTTATAATCACTCATGCTAATTTTTAAGCAAAGTAAATGCTGACAGAGACCAGTGCCCAGTGAGGTCCTCTGCCCAAATTCTCAGTCTCCTTTCTGATTGAGAAGGAATGGATGAAGCACAAAGGACTGAGGCAGCCGTGTTTGTAATACAACACTTATTTGAGGAGGCAGGCACAACATGATCTAGCCATAAAAAATTAACGAGATAAAATGTCTTGCTATCACAGATAATGGGTCCACAAGCAAACCTGTGATTCAGATCGTTAATATTCATTTAACAACTTCTTACAAGTTCCCTTAGTTTAGTTGCTTTGTTAGTGCTACATATTTAGAATATTCACTTCCCTATGAAGTTTCAGAGATCCATAAGTGTTGTTACTTCATTACACACATATGCTTTTCACCTTGCCTCAGACAAACTTAAATAGTATTAGGAACATTGGAGACGTTCATTAAACATACTGACAAATTGAATTATGCCGTTGCTTTTGTTTTACAAAATTAAGGCCATACGTATGATATAAATAATTACTGGTAGATTTTTTTAATTAATTATAAATGGCAGAAAATGCATCATGACTCTTTTTTATGAAACGAGACTATTATTAGTGTCAAAATGGAAAATTATTTCTTGTCACTGGGCTTGGAAAGGTTGGCATAATAAAAGTGAATTAAAAAGAAAAAATTCTGGAAATTGATTTTTTAAGCTGGATACTTAGAAACAATGGTACCAATAGAAGAAAAAGTAATGTTGCTCAGTCTTAGAAAGCAAGGCTGACTACCTAGCATTTTTATCGGAAGTGTAATGTAATCATGGCCAGTCAGCCCTGAAAAGTAGACTAAGACAATTCTAGATATAATATTAGTATTAGGAAGTGAAGAATTCAGATAATCCACAGAAACTGAATATTTTGAAAAGGAACATACTTTTAAAATTTTAATTTTAATATTAGAAAATTGAATACAAATTTCTTTAAAGAATTTTTGATAGTTTTCTAAACTGTCAGTCTTTATACATGACATGTGCCATTTTTAAAAATATATATTTTGACCTAATTATTCAACTTTATTGATTAAAAACACCAAATATTCATAAAAGTTATTGATTCTATATATATGATCTATGAAGAGTAAGTCAATGAAGAAATTGATGACTCAAATGGTATGTTAGCACAGACATGGTGAAGAGGAAATTGGCATTATCTCAAGGTTTAAATCCAAACCCCAACAAAACATTCTTAAGAACACAAACCTAGAAGTAGGACCAGCTTCATGGGCACACAACCAGTGAAGTGGCACAAGGCCTCATGGAGCATGGCTCAATGCCTTACAGTAGCTGGCGGATCCTGCCAATTGTTTAGCTGGTCCTGCCTGAGAGCCTGCATTCCCTAATAATTACCTGAAACCTATGCACTACTATGCTTTGTGTGTGTGTATGTGAAGATTGCTGCTGAGCTAACATCTGTGTCAATCTTTCTCCATCTTATGTGGGATGCCACCACAGTGTGGCCTGACAAGTGGTGCCAGGTTCACGCCTGTGATCCAAACCCACCAACCCTGGGCCACCGAAGCTTAGTGCACAAACTCAACTACCACACAGCTTGGCTGGCCCCCATTACTATGCTTTTAAGGCACAAAAGCATAGCATATCCGAGGTTCTATTTCTATGAGGCAAATACAGCTTAGTTCTCTCCCCGACCCCCAATAAATATTTTATTCCAATTTGTTATCATCTTGTCTTCATAGCCTTGGTTAAGTGGAAGAAAGAATGAAGATTGTGCCAAAAGTAGAGCATGATACCAGCACCCACACTACATTTCAGTGTGCTCCTGTTCTCTCTTCTTCAACATGCTGATCTAAAATACACAAAAGTCACCTGGTGCAAAGATTATTTTCTCACATTTACCAATTAAAATATTTCCAGTTCTACTTCACCTTCTTCCAAAAGCATGTGAGATGATTTTAAAGTTAAACGTGGTTTTAAACAAAACAAAGAAGAATACGAACAAAATAACATCATTAATAATAATTTTAAAAAGTAGATGCAACTAGGTGTCTGAGTAATGCAATTTGTTACAAGTAGTCATTCACTCCGTTAGCTTTTAGATTGTAATTTCTTACATTTTAAACAAAATAAAGGTGACAGACTGCTCAAGAGTAATCAATCTTTTCAAATAACATTAGAAGCTTAGTAGAAATCTCAAAATTTAGAAGATACAGAAATATTTTTCAAATATACAGTTTGAGAGCTGTTCTTTTATAAAGATAGAAATCACTGAATTATAACTTGGTACAAGAACATTCAGCTGCTTTACTTTGTGATCGTGTAGCTTGATAGAATGATTTAAGTTGGAGGTTGGTAAGATCCCAAGAGATTTTCCCTCTACATTTCTTGAGTCTAGATTCGCTTTTGGAAGCTTTGTTAGCACATTCAGTGCATGTTTAGGTTCTTTAAAAAGTCCTTGTATTTAGAAGTCCTGTGCCATTATTCTTTTACCTTTGATGTTGCACTCTTGATAGCAAACTTGGAAAATGTGAAAAATCAGTGGAGGAGGCTGAGATTCGATGTTGATTATGAAGTACTAGCAGGTAGAGTAAGTCAGTCACTTACTTAGGAAGTGAATATGTAGACCGGATAGATGGATTAAGCCTTTATAGTTGTTAATTTGCCGCTATGGAGACATGGCCTAAGTGGGGAGGCCACTTTGTTGAAAAATTATCTTACCTTTGAAAATCCTTGAGTTGGAAATTTGATTCATAAATCTTCCTTCCATCCTGTCTCCTCAAAAGAGTTCTATAAAATAACTCAAGGATATTGCAAGCAAAAATAAATACTTTCTAAATGCTTCCCTTCCCTTTTCATACTCACACTCAGGCTGAGTGGCCACTTTGATGGGTTGAGAACTCTCGCCTGGTCCCCACTCATTGTAGGCCACAACTCGGAAGGTGTACATGGCTTCTGGCTTCAGGTTTCCCACAGTAAGCTGAAGGGACCCAGGCTGTGATGTATTCAGTGCTCGTTCCCTGAGAAACAAACATTGTAGGGAAAGCTTATTCCAACATGAAACCTTTTAGCCAAAGCCTTTATTAATGTGCAAGAGTAGTGAGGTGGACCAAAGGTTGCTTACTTATTGAATGTTGACTCTGCACGTAATTCAAGACCTCTGAGGCTTACCAGAAATAAACTGACTGGAAAAAGCTACAAACAAATGTTTCAGCATTTCTGGGGAGTTCGTATGTATGCTATTCCCATGAAACTTGCAAACTAAAATCTTTTCTCTTGACACTTTACAATTTAGAATTAAAAACTCATGACGAAGAACTTTTGAAATAAGAAGAAACATTTGGAATATAGACCGGAAGACGCATTTCAAAAACATCCAGCTAATGACAGAAATCAAGGTTTCAATGATTCCACAAATCAGTCTTTGTCAGTATGACCAACAAATGCATTTATGCATTTTCTTTCATTGTATGAAAGGGAAAGGCAGATGCTAAGTGATGATGTGTATAGAGCTTGAGCTCCTGTGGTTACGTTAAGTGCAATTAGTGAAAGGAAGTAGGTTTCCTTCTACGTGAGAAGAAACTGCAGCACATGTCTACTTGTCTTGTTCTTCAAGCCACATCTCCATGTGTCCAACTCACTTCCCAATTAAAAACTTCCTCAGTGGTTCCAAACAAATAAATTAGTTGGCTGATCATGGTGGGATTTACAGTACATATTAAGAGAAGACAAACCTTGTGGGTATGGATGCTGACATATAAGAAATGAGAAGTACTGAAGTATTCTTTAAGGACACACATGATTCTAGACATTTCTATGCTCATTGGCCTCGTATAACTGAATAGGTGAAGAAGGAACTCCTCCTCCACTCAACTGCTTCTGAAGATTTCTATTTCTAGATAACATCTCCTGCCTCTCAGTGGAACTTTATGTAGGTTTTAATTTTGCCATTTGGTTTTGTTTTGGGAGATACTTTAAATGAAACATTTTTCTGCCAGGGCAAATTAGGCTTCCAAGGAGAAAAATTAAAACAAAAATTCTAAGAGTATGAATAGTGATTCTTAGGCATAAACACACACTCCTAAAATGACTGATATGGCAGAGAATGGCTGAGTCATCCTCAAACCCATTTCTTCTCATTCATGTCCTAGAGTCTATTTTCAGCCTCCCTAAGGTCTGGATGAATCCATCTGATTGAGTCTAACAAATGAGTGTGAGCGTATGAGACATGTGCTGATTCCAGGCCTGGCCTAGACAAACCACACATGTGGGTTACTCCATGTTCTCTTCCTCTGCCAGTGGGCTTGAGGCAGGCAAGCATGGTGACTTTGGAAGCCATATATTGATGATGGAGGAGTCAAAATTTGTAGGAATTTTGCAGAGGAGCTGGAGTAGAACTGTCTGTCAATAAGAGAATCCTTTTTATACTTCATAGAGTCAAATAGTTTTGAGCCATTATACATTTAGAGCTTATTTGTTGTAGTAGTTAACATTATTTTATCGAGTACTGCTAGTAAGTAAAATATGCACCCTGGCTGGTCGCCAGGGGCTGAGGGGAGTGGGGAAAGAGAAGCTAGCATTGAATGAGGACAGAGTTTCAGTTGGGGAAGATTCGCCCTGTATGAATCTGGATATACCCCAAAGTTTAGATATTCCTTTAGGAGTATAGTGCTAAGTTGCTGGAAGGTTGAATTGTGGCATAGCAGGGGAATGGGTATGGGTGGGATTCAATTGTAACCTAAAATAGGTAAGGGTAAGAAAGATCAACTAACGTTCTTATGTATCATGCATCACTCTGCTCTATTCTATGAAACTAAGACTATTTAGGCCAATAAATTGCTTTTAAAAAACAAAACCTCCATCAGATTGTATGCCTTGCTGATACAGGGATTTTTGCACCTTATTTATTTTCTTTTAGCAGGAGAACTTTTACATGCATTGCCTCTTATAGGCCTTTGATATAGATAGGGTGGTTTTATTATCATTATTTTACAGATGCAAAGGTGAGATTTAGAGAAACAGCATGGCTCTTTTTCAAAGGACTCACAGTGGATATCACAGCTAAGAATGAAATCTGGAGGTGCATTCTTTCAATCCAGTATTGATAAATCATTCAACAAATAGTAGGAAAATGAGGGGCCTATTGGGATCACGGGAACTTTGGGTAGAAGACCTGAGGTCCTAAAGGGGAAGAACGGACACAGAAATCGCTGCAAGGCCGAGTCTGTCTGTGATCTGCTGTAAGTCGTTTCCTATCCTTTCTGGGCTGTCTAGCCACAGTTGTCACCAAAGGTCAGAGTTGCTTACCAAACTTCTTGAACACCTATGAAGAAAGACAGCTTTCATAATTGACTTTAGTCTTACAACTGCTAAATAATTTTGATGACGTAGTTGTGTCCCAGGGCATGCTGGCATCGCTGTTTGAACAGGCATTCTTCAAAGGAAATAAAAGGCAAGACAACGTGGGCATGCCCAGGTAAGAATGTTCAAGATCATACAGTGAAAATAGCAGTCGCATATAAGAGGGGATACTGGTCTTTATTACAAGTTCCCATTATCTCCATCAGCCTGCAAAAAGTATCCCAAATTAATAAGTCATGAAAAAATTATATTTGTTGATATGAACATTTGATACGTCCTCAATATTATGTAAAGAATGAACAAAGTATCTTTAGAAAAGACTCTTTTAATTTAAGCAAATACAGTGGGCTTTATCAGAAAATACAGCTTCAAGACAACTCCACAGCCCTGCTCTAGCTCCATGCTAGATTGTACTGCCCTGGATTGACCACTAATTCTTCACTGTAGGCTCTTAATGGTTTTAAACAATAGTTTAATCTAAATATGCCAATTTTATGTGCCACTTTTCAGAAATCTGCTTATCACATCGAAGTATGGTCTCATCAAAATGCTATGTGGACTGTGGAGTGAATTCAGGATTCTTAAGCCCGGGGTTACTGTTTTGACTTTCTCACTAACTTGTCTGAGTCCCAGATTCCTCAAATGCTAATTGGTGCCATAAAAATGTTTACCTCAGAGAGTTTCTAGATAATTAAATGAGATGTCGTATGTAAACTATAGAAAGAAGTAGGCACGGTGCCCTGTACTCAGTAAAGAATTCTCCATACATGGAAGTTGCTGCTGTTATTTTCATTATTATAAAAAAATTACCACCATAACCTCACGAGAAATAAGTGCTCTTGAGTCCAAGAAGAGGACTTTCCCACAAAGTACTTAGAACTAGGAATCTGAGGAGAGAAATTAATAAGCATGAGAGGTATAATTATAAAGAAAAAGTATATAGATAGGTTTCATTGAGCTACTGGCCTGCCAAAATAGTTTTTTTAATATTTTCTGTCAGATTAATTTTGAATGGAGAGATAAGTTAAATCAAAAAGAGTGGTCATAACTAGCAGTACTGAACAATATTTTTAAAGGGTAAAGCCTTTGCTGACAGAAACTGAGAAGGAATAGGTGCTGCCTGAGTTCACAGCACAGCTGGCCAGCCCTGTGATATCTGCTGTCCACCCTGGTGTCTGGGCTTCATTGCCAGGCTGCTCTCATGCTTCTTCAGGTCCTACTGAGGTCACATCAAACTGCTACAGACATACAAATGCATTTTGGGAAAATAACATTTCCTGCCTCGCCGCCTCTCACAGATTGGCTGTTACAAACCCCAAAGATTCACAGGAGGCTTTTGATCACCCCTTTCGTGCTTAGCAGCTGAAAACCAAACATCACAAATCGTTTCTCAACAGGTAAATAAAATCTGAGTTTGGACAAGCAGCTTATTACTCTGTGTTTCTCTGGTACTACAATAGGGCAATGTCAGCCACCTAAAGTAGTTAAACTCTCCATAATCTCTATTTTTAAACAGGTAGCAAACAGGATTTCCTCTCTGCTCAGTCTAGACCATGCTCCTATGTAAATGGGCAGACACACACACCAGGTCCTGAAGAACAGAGACCAGTAGATATTATGACTTTGCCCAATTATGGTGTTGGGGTGTTCTGCCTGTCACTGTACCAACTGCTCCTGGGAAAGCATCAGGGACCCAGGCTGGCTGCATCTCAGTGAAGTTCTCTCCTCTGACTCTGAAGACGTAATTACCCTTCAAATCTGCAGAGCTCAGAATCCTGGTCTGTGGTGGCAGATATATTGTCAGACAAAGCTTCATTATTCTACTTCTTCCTCACTCTGAGTTGGTAGTGTGGGGTTCAGGCAAGTTCAAGATAAGCTGCCTGAAGTAAAGGGAGTAAGCCACCTGAGCTTTCAAGAATCCATTCACTGTAAATTCATTCACTGAAAATCCACACAGAGTATAAATATATCAAGTCTGTCTCCTCCTGCTGGCCAAAAAAGCTGTAGGCAACTAGCCCTCTTCACCTTTTATATGTAGACCAAGAAGAGCTCGTCCCATTAACAAGAAGCATTTCTTTCTTGTAAATTCTAGTTTTCAGTGCTTGGGGTTACCCAGTTGAGGTTTCTTGCAAAATAACTGCTATGTTGTAAAAACACACATTTTGACCCAACAATAATAATGCTTCTGCTTTGCTGAAATCTGACCTTTTTTCTAAGTCTTCTTAGGCACTGATACATTTTGAGACAGGAATTCAACGTGGTGGCATAGAATGCACCCTTGCACAATTTGCGTTGAGACCTATCTGGTTAGGCTATAATCTCCTGTGCCTGGAAGTGACCTCTGCTCTGGTGCCCACTTACAAAGTATTACATGATGATAATAGCTTTACCTAGCTCATTGTCATTGGTCTCCCCAGTTCTTTCTATCTTCTATTAATAGAGATATTCTTCTAACATACATAATCTATCAACTCCATGTGCAAAATATTGTGCTAGCTGCCATTCTATGATTAAGACAATCTCAACTCCTTGGGACAAGATCCAAAGACCTTCAAGATGTGGCCAAAATCTTTTCATGCTTATCTGCAATGAGTCACCCTGCCCTGCAATGCCATATGCGTCTCGACTTCTCTGTCTTTTGTCATTCCAACTTTCATTA